GACAGGGAGTGCCACAGACAATGAATTTTCTTGGGTTCTCATTCATCTGCCTTTACATACCTCCAAGGGCTTTCTGCTTACTCCTCCCTTTGCTTCCCCTTTCACTCAGTTTCTCTCCAGTTTCTTTCACCTTAATTTATGTTGTTGAATTTAAGAAATTTTGTGAGGTTAAAAATTATTCACTCATACCTTACACAGAGTCTAGGGACCCACAGACTGTGGGAAACTCATGCAATAGCTAAAGATAACTTGTTCCAAGCAGTTATCATTGCTTAAGTGAGTGAGTTTATCAATCGCAACCTTCTGGGAGTTTGGTCTCCAGTTTGTGGCTCGTGTTGTCAAGTCCATGAGGGTGAATGTGGATGGATGACTGCTGAGGGATGGGGAAGATGCCAATGAACTCACTCAAGGCCTAATGACAGAACTCTGGGAGTCAGTCAAAGTGTGGTTTCTCTTTTTCCCACTGCAGCTGACAGGGCTACTGAACCATCTCAATAATTCCCAGCATTTTGGACTAAATAATCTGGCTTTGTATTTACCAATTTTTGAAATACCTGATTGCCTAGTAAAACAGGTGCACTCACTGTAAAGGCTGATGTCATGAAAAAGTTGAAACTATCTGATCTGAATTTAGTCAAAGCCCAAAGGGTTGGGGGAACAGGAACCTGCCTAAGTAATTGAAATAATGAATTAAAGTTGACCTCAGTTGGACATATCCGAGAATTTCACAACTTTTTACATGACTTAATGTGCAAAGGCAAAGACTTTGTCTAACCAGTGCTTCACTTGCTCTCTCTGCTGTCTATACTATTAATCTTTATACCATATGGTGGCAGTCATTCTGCTTCAGTAGAAATTCTATAACAGACTTTTAGTCTGATGCTTTCCATTAAACCACCTTCCATCTGGTATTGATGACTGTATGACATTTACAGACTGGTGGATAAAGTCTGAGAAGTTAGTTTGTTGACTTGCTTTGTGCATATCACCCTGTGAAGTATCAGTGAATTAGGGCTCATAATTTTTAAATACTCCAATATACTTCATAGAGATTATCTGAATGACAGACCCTCCAACAACAACAAAGTCTTAAATCATTTCTTAAAGTTATATTTTTTAAATTCATTAAACAACTGAAAAGATGGTTACAGAATTGGCTAGGGATTCATAACTCTTGAGTATAGAGAGACAAAACTCTTTTCCTCTCTGTCTGTCTCCCTTCCCACCACCCTGGAGAATCCCCTTCATACAGGTTAACATCTGGCAAGAGGAGTATAGAGACAAAAGAGTAATGTATTGGAAAAAGAACTCATCAGAAAGTCCAAAAACTTGAGTTGTGTTCTGGACCCAGACTAGAATAAGTCATTTACCTCTGATGTCAATGTTTGAACCTACCCTCCTGTGTGAACTAGAGGACCTAGGCTGGATCATCTTGTTCTGACCAGGGAGCGCATAGGCAGCTGGGCCACAGTTCTCGCTCCTCCATACTCCAGCTACTGGCTTACTGGAATTATCCATGGGGCTGTGTGTAGTTCTGCCTGTGAGAAACTATTCTCTCTGCGACAATCCACTGCCAACTTCCTCAAGGGTGGAGAATCAGGCACGATACATTTTACACAGAGCTTATTCATTCAGTAACATGAGAATTCATTTGGAATTAGAATCCATAGTACATTTGTAATTTTTGCTTACAGTCCAAAAGTTATCCAGTAACATACAGTTTCTGATGTTGGCTGTGACCATGGCGAGGAACAAATGAACTCTACCCCATGCCCATATAAGGCTGAGTTAGCCAACTGCTTGGGGAGTGGAGGGTTCTGCAGCCAGGCATTGTCATCACCACTACAGTAGCACCGTGGGGAAGATATATAGCAAGGGACCCCAGGGGAAGCTGTGGGAAAGAACAAACTTTGAACACAGCTCCCTGAACAGCAAAATCCATCCAACTGCTATTTTTAAGCATTCCATTACTTAAAAAATATACTATCAAGCCACAAGTAGGGTGGAAATAGTCTTGTTTTCTATAGGAACACATTTAGGTTAATTTGTTAATCACCAAATATTTAGAATACATATGCCATATTTATAGAACTGAAATTGACACTGCATCTTAATAAATGATTTAATGAAGTACATGTAATTGTCCTAACAATATATATCTTCAGTAATATACTAGGCTTACCCCACAGAAAATGGTAAATGGCATCATTTATCTGTCCTCAGTAGGTTTTCTCCTTACCTTTTACCGTTAAGTCATTTCTACCATCTTACTGATTAATATTCAATAGCACACTTGAATCAATTGGGCAGCCTTGGATACTGGCTGTTAAAACAAACCAACCTGGATCTGTATGATCCAGTTGCAGTGTGAGTCTCGGTCCAGCACTAATGATAGGGTGAACCATTACGCAGTGTGAAGAGAAGAGCCATCTGAACACTACAGACAGCGGGCCCTGCAGGCCAGGCCCCACAGCAGGGTATCTTTGGCTCTGTCTCTTAAACAAACTACTCAGACAATCGCCAAATCTCAACTTAATTCAATCAGCATAGTAACCTGTCTGAAGAGAGGCAAGTCAAGCCCACGCTGGGTTGTGGAGTATGCACATTAATGAAGTTAACCAGAAGGTGTCATGTTTCTACTTCACTTGTCAATATATAGGAACAGATTCAAGGTATTTTCTTAATTAGGGAGAATGGGAAATAAAAAGGTTTCAATGCCTATACTGTAAACTTACTAAATTAGAGAGGCCTAGGGACCCTTATAAATCTGCCTTTTAATAACCTCTTTGAAAAGACCTTTGGCATTTTATAAGAGTATATTGCTTTGTAGATGGTATTACCTATCGAAATAATCAGGATAAGCTAGCTCTATTGAAGAACAAAACTCTTATAAGAGCATCATGAGAAATGTTAATATATTGGTTCTAGATTAAATAAATACTTGTACAAAGTGAAAAGAGCAGACCCAGTAACCTTCTCCTCAGTTTGGGTCCTGTTTGGCTGATCACATGGAGAAGAATGTAGAGTCCCTCTAGTCAAACTCCCTCCCACACAAACGAGCGAGTCTCACAGATGTTGTATACTACTCATTTATCTTCCCTGTGCCCATATAAGGCTAGCAAGTGCTTACAGAGGGGAGAGCTCTGCAGTCAGACATTTTTATCACTGCTCCAGAAGCATTGCTGGGAAAACTTATAACAAAGGACTCCAGGGGCATTTTAAATCTCATGAATTGGCTTCCATATATTTAAAAAATACATATCCTTGTTAAATGCTGATAAAATGATCTTCAGTCAGGAAGTCCTAAAGTGTAAAGTCCCCACTCCTAAACAGAGGAACCCATTAGTAAGTTGACAACAATCTGTTTTGAGGACTGCAACTCATGAGGAACGCGACATATAGAGACGGAAGCTTTGATCTAGTGGCGAGAAGCTCCTCAACTGTAACCTTTGGTATTAAAAAATGATTAGTCGCTTGTTGTTAAATACAACTACCACATTTATAAAGGGGTTCCCTATTACAAGTGTTACTTATTTCAGGGGTCCCCAACCTCGGGGTCATGGACCAGTACTGGTCCACGGGCTGTCAGGAACCTAGCTGCACAGCAGAAGGTGAGCAGCTGGCAAAGGAGGGAAGCTTCACTCACATTACTGCCTGAGCTCTGCCTACTGCCCCCCACCCCCCACCTCTGGTCCATGAAAAAACTGTCTTCCACGAAACCGGTCCCTGATGCCAAAAAGGGTGGGGACCGTTGACTTATTTGATTTTTGGAGGGGGCTCAGGTAGGAAAGGACATATAATATAACACCCAGCCATGGAGCTGAGGCTCCAACAACATGGTCCTTCCTCCTGGTGGGTGGAAATGGGGAATAGCTACGTTAGAAACTGATTTCAGGATTCATATTGGTGAAACTCATTTGGAACACCTAAGGACTGGAATAATTTCTGTTTCCAAAGACAGGGCAATGCAGGCAAGAATTCCCAATTGTCTCGAACAACCTGGCATTGGATATGCATGGGTCCTAGAGAAAAATGCATGATTCCAAAGCACAAAGACGCAAAAGACTCTGTCATAAAACCAAATACTGCTGCTCACACTGCCACACACAACATGGGCTTAAACATATATAGAGGGTCTGGCAGAAGTAAGGCCCACTTGAGTAATTGGTAGAATACCAATCGGTACCCGAGTAGTTGGTAGAGTAATAATATGGGTGTAATAATTTATAGTTTTAATTTGAACATTTCCCCTAAAATGTCATATAGTGTGCTTGAGTGTGATATTGTTATGTTACAGAATTACATGCTTATGATTTTGTAATAAAAGATTTTGTAATAAAAAAGGGGAGTTATTTGTGCTAAATCCTGTACAGGCAGTATCTTTTTAAAAAATCAGTAATGCCAAGACTCAAACATCAGCTTTAATGGAAACAGAATGAATGAGGTCACTTTGATTGAACATATTAAACCCAGTAACAGTTCAAATTCTACCAGGTCTTAAAATAATTTGGGGTGACTTTTTTTCTGTTATCTATGAAATGGGCTACATAAAGGGCATTCAGAAAATGAGTAGAATTATTTAAAAAATTAGAATGATTCTAAGTGGTATGAGGCTGATGCCCTTTAGACTGAATATCTATATTGCAGTATGAGTACAAGTATGTTTTCTCTATATAGTATTTTTATAAAATATATATTTATGTATAAGATAACAAGTATAAAACACAGTTGCATTATATATACATATCTAGACATACATAGTCCTAACAACGAGTAAGAGAAAAGATGTTTAAGAAAGTTAGCATTATTCTCAATTTATTAAGAAAGTAGTAAAAATTGATTCAATTTTGCACTATATCATTATTTGTTCCAGTAGAGAAGAACATACCGGTATTATATTTCTTAGGCAAGTGCAATTGACTTGATCAGGCAATTTCAGGCACTTTCATGTACAACGGGAGTATAAGGAACGTAATGTTTATTGCGATGCGATGACTTACCCGCCCTCCTTTCTCAGGGTAGCACTGGCAGCCCCCACTGCAGTCTCGCCCTCCACAGGGCACATCAAACTTCTTCACACCCTGCAAAAAGAAAACACAAAGCAAAGAAAAAGTTATTGAAAGTACTGTCAACTACAATATGTATCATAATGCTATCTGTTGAGAGTATTTCCAACTCTTAACAATTATCTATTGATTCAAAACAAATAGACTTCAATTTTTAGAGCAGTTTTAGGTCCACAGCATAAGGTACAGAGATTTCCCATACAACCCCCGGCTCCCACATGCACAGTTTTCCCCATTATCAACATTCCTGCCACAGAGTGGGACATTGGTTAAAAAAATCTATGAACCTACAATCGCATGGCAGTATTATCCAAAGTTATAGTTTACATTAGGGCCACTCTTGGTGGTGTCCATATCATGGCCAATAGTGCCTACTAAGTACCAGATGCCAAGAGAGATCCTGGGTGTGGAAAGTCAAGGGGAACATTCCCTGAGTCACAAGGATTCTGTGTGAGGTAAACCCACATGGACACTTTTGTTAAGAGCTTTACTATAAAAAAGAAACTCCAGGCACATAGAAAGCGCCCTTCATTCTGCATGGAAATGTGGAGGATGCATTCTGGAGGAGGAGATGTTCAAGGTTAAGTTAATTAGGGCAGGGCCACTCTGGGCCCTATCCCACAACACAGATCCTGGGGGATGAAAGGAAGGGGGTTCTAATGAGGAGGTGGAACTTGCAAATACACCTGATAGGATGACAAGCCCTCACCTCCATTGTGTAGGTACCGTGACACCCATGGTGATTCCCCTGCAGAGGAAAGCCCTCTTCCTTCCCTTCACCCTGCAAGCAATGCTCATGTACACTAGGAGGAGGGTGCAGGGGCAAGTATTTATTTAGTCAGGTTGGGGTGGCAAAATAGAACTTTTTATCATACACTGAGATATAATTCTTTAATGAGTTTAGTGGAGAGCCTGAGGGAGTTCTCTGGTTGGACAATTCCAACCAGAAATAGGGGTGTTTCTTGCCCTCGATCTAGGTTTTTCAGGTAAAACATGGACTTGGAGATTGGACTATGTCTGAACTCTTCCTTTCAGACGGGGTTCACAGTATTAAACGTTTTGAGCAGGAAATCAGATTGGCCCTCTTCTCTCTCCTCTGATCAGCCAATCCTTCCCATTCTCTTCTGAGTTAAGTCTCAATGGCTAAACAGAATGGTAACGTGGGAACTCTCTGCAAGTTTTCCTGTCTGCTTTTCATGCTAGCATCCTCCTCGTTCCTGGCATGGCACTGAAGGTTCACGTGGAAATGCAGATGTTCTACCTGGCCACCTCTGTAACTCCCATTGGCATGGCCTTCCTGAATGGGCAACCTTGGATGGGCACACAGGTCCACTCGGACTCAAAACCATCTGGCCAGAGTTTTCCTTAGACCTCAACAGCCACTCAATGTTCTTTTTGTAGAGATCTCATGTGAAAGTTTCACTTTTTTTTTTTTGTTATAATTCTTTACCTAATCTAGTATCAGTTGCTACTCTAAAGAATTAAAAAAAAAAGTCTGAAAATATCAAATCCTGTAAAGAAACCAACACCTGGAATGTCTTTGAAGTCTCCTTTTGGTTATCTTTTTGGCCTGAGTGAGGTAATGAAACAACTTGAGTTCCACAGTGTAAGAATAAAACATATATAGAATCTTTTTATGCTCTCAGAAATATAATTCTAGGAACTTGCCATTTTTTTGTGACTTCAATGTTTTTCTACAGTGGGGCTCATTATTAAATTCCACCATTTAGAATATTTGATTTTTATAAATCCAGCTCCATGCTAAGGCTTTGGTTTTATGGATCACTCTTAGCACCAAAAAGAGAAGTCTAGATGGGCTGCCATATCAACACTTTGTATTATATATGACTGTGACATGAACAGTTATGTTGGCAGGTGTCCCTGGTTCATGCACTAATTCATTTACCAGTTGTTTTTAAAGGGTAGAGGGACTTAGCGATCTAGTGCACAAGGAATAAACTCATATTCTCCATCTGAGGTTTTACATGATATTTTTAGTTTTTATTTTAAAGCCACTTGCCAAATCTCTATATAGAAATCAATTGTTGAAACGATTTTAATGGTTTCAAATTGATCCAACAGACTATTCTAGGCTTAGGCTATGCATTGGGTTTATTTATAGAAATGAGTTCCTCATAGCCTGCTCAAAATTTAAGAGTGCTTCTTTGTTTCTGGAGTTAAGACTTGAAGGACTGATAACTCCTGGTCTCAACACTTTTTCAACTATGTGTCAGTGGCTCAGATACCATGTCTCTGAAGGTGAGGAATACATCATAAAGAGGTAGCCCTCCACCGTACAAACCACAGGTGATTCTGTCATGGAATTCCAGCCCCACACATGTGTTACTTATGTGTGCATGTGTACATGTCTATGTGTGATGTAGTGTCCGGTGTGTGTTTTTCCCATCTGCACCTTACATATACCACAGAGGGACTCTTATGAATTCCAACATTGACAAGAGCCCTAAGTACCACATACTGGAATGTCAGATCTCTGGGATGAACAGAAGTATTTTTACTTTATTAAGGAAGGGCATGTGTTCTAGAAATCTCTTAAAGACTGAACAAGTCTCATACCTGAGCTTCTGCATTTCTGTGGTGGTACCTCAAAGTCTCAGGACATGAATGCCCTTCTGAGGACCTTTGGATGAGGCGTATGTGAACTTCTCTGTGGCGTGCCATGTCTACATCCCAACCCCCACCCCACTCCCAAACAGAAGAATATTAAAAGCTCACACCAACCACCGCCAGTGCTCCAAGACCTTGAGTCTACCCTTGCTTTTATTACTCAACAAAACTCACAAGACAAAGCATGATCCTCCTTCATGTCAGTTCCTTAATAAAGATGACTAATTAATTCCCTTCCACCCTGCATCGACCTCAAGAGTCTGCCCACCATCCTCAAAGGTGATAAGCTGGCCCTGGTTGAGATCTTCAAATTCAGAGTATCCAGGATGCTCTCACCTGTATGGTTCAGGCTCTCTCAAAAACATCAATTAAATCCTCTAACAGTTTCTTACTTCAAGTCTGAATTCCCATTGGTAGCACTGGGTAGAGCAATATTCTAAAAACCCTGCTCTTCCAAGGCCCCTTGCAGATCACTGGGCCAAGAGGCTCCCATGGGCCCTGCTCAAGGTGTGAAGAGTGTCCATTGTCATGGATCATGTCCCAGCCATTAACCTCACCTGGCCAAACTCTGCCCCTTGTTTTGAGGTCCTTCATCCCAGGACAGAAAAGGGCTCATGGCCTAATAAGACCAATAATGCTGAAGATCGATGAAATCTGGTTAGGTCTTCCATCCCCTGGGGAATGCTCGACTCTAACATGCACATGTCTGGTGGCCTCATATTCACCCAGAAACTCTCCCATCCAGCCTTTGGGACCACAAAGAAGCCTGTGCTATGTGCTTCCTAGGTCTGAGTGTTCAGGGGCACATTTTTCTTCAGCTGCACCAGTGAGAGATCACCTAACTCCCCCAATTCCAAACTAATGTGACAGCTGGAAGGGATCTTAAGAATAACTTATCCACCCTTCCACCTTGCAAATTCATGCATTCATTCATTCTTTCATTCTTTATTGAATGTTTACTCTGGGTGATGCACTGTGCTGGACTGTGGATATAATGTAGGGAATAGGTGATGTAAACAAGTGGACAAGATAATTAAGTAAACATACAATGAAACCTACATAATTTAAATTATGGTGAGTGCCATTAAAACCATGCCAGGTAACAGACTACCTTAGCCAGGGCTCTTTCTCTTGGGCTCCACTGTGCTTCCTTCTCCTTATAGACCTACCTCACAAAGAATAACCTTCCTGTTGTCTAACCTGAGACCCTTGCCGCTATTACCAAGGGGACATACAAAGAACCACTCATCTCCATGCTTAGGAAAGCAAGACCTCTGGATTATTATCATCAAGGAATCAGGAGTATCTTAAATTGGAGTGAATTTGAATTAAATTCTTCTTATAATCCTCAAGATGCCCCTACATAGCTGGATCCCCCAATTCCTGTCGCAGGATGTAATTTCAATCCACTGCCACTTTATAATGCAGGACAAAGACAGTCCACAGGTGTGGGACATCCTTAGTCCTCCCTTGCCCAACAGAAGGCATCTCAGTTGCTATGAAGATTCTTGACCAATTCAAACTGTGGACCTAACTTCGACACTGTGGAAGGAGTTTGACTAGGGGGATTAATCATTAATTTCTTCTGCAAATAAATGAACAGTCACTGGAGACCTGCAAATGTTCCCATCTTGGCAGCTATCTGGCCACCCATCAGCCTAGAGAGTAGGCCCCACTGGATTCATCTGCTCCTTCCAGAAAAAGGAGAAGAATTAAGAAAGTTGGGGAGAGGCACTGCAGACTCAGGGAAAGGGTTGTTAATTTTGATATCATTGTAAGCTTTTGACATCATCTCAAAAAGTGTTGTGGAACTGATATTGGTTTTGAACAATAAAAGTGAATTATAAGTTTTGGAAAGTAGGGGAGTAAGTAGCTTAAACATGAGTTTAAGAGAACAGGAATGTCTCTGAGCTACATCAGGAAGAGATGAAGAATGGGTAATCTTTGCAACAATTAATACTGGCAAGGGAAAGAGTGGAGTGGAGAGAGCTGTGGACACTAAAGAAATGAGAAAGAGAGAGAGTGTATGGTGATCAAAGAGTTTGAGGAATATTTGCCTGAAAGTAGTGTCACTAATGAAGTGGAAGGAGGGGAGAGGGAAGGAAGGTTGATTGATTAGAGGCAGGGGCTCAGACACAATATAAAAGAGTTAATCAACAAATCCATGCTTGAAATTCTGTGGTTCTTCATCTAGACCATTTCGACTCCTAGTGTGGCATGTGGGGGCAACATCAGCATCACTTTGGTACTAGTTAGGATTGCAGACCTTACTACAGATTTACTGGATTAGCTCCCCCTTTCTAACAGGATTTCCAAGTAAGCACATTGAAGTCTGTGGAGCACTGCACTAGATTAATGGACTGGCATTGTGAAGAGACTTTGTTCAG